CGCATCTCTGCTCCTCCACATGCAGCTGCTGGGTGACCTTGGGCTAGTCACACTTCTTTGAAGTCTCTCAGCCTCACTCACCTCACAGAGTGTTTGTTCTGGGGGAGGAAGGGAAAGGAGAATGTTAGCTGCTTTGAGACTCCTTCGGGTAGTGATAAAGCAGGATATCAAATCCAAACTCTTCTTCTTATACTAGGTCTATCTGGCTCCGAATTTTCTACACTGACTGCCACCAGCTCCCCGGGTTTTAGACAGAGGACAATCACTATAGAGATGTTGAGATGCCAGGGACTGAACCTGGGACTACACGCTAACATGTGTTTTGTCACTGAGTTATATGATAGTTTCTCAGGAGAAACAACTAAAGAATTCTGTTTCTTACCAAAACATAGCTTACTTTAAAGAAATGTTTCCACATGCAATTACTGTTGGGATATGTGACTGTAATAAAAAGAGATAAAGGCACAAAAGGGGAAAGATGCAACAGTGGTGGCGGCAGGGTCAGGATGCTATTCCTGAGCACCCAGCCCACATGCCAAATCCCTGGTTCTGCCTTATGTTTGTGTGATGGAGCCACAGTCTAATAGATGCCGAGGTGCATAAAGACTCAAGCAATGCAATTGTTGCTCCAGAAATGGTGATGATTGTGTGGATCAGACCTAAGCACATTGGACACGACGCACCTAGATCCCTATTCTACTGTGACATTTCAATGTGCAGTTGTCAGGTGTGGTCTAAGGTGGGCGAGAAGCATTAGAGACAACACAATCTGGATATCCTGCTGCCCACAGGTTTTACAGAGAGCTGTGTTTGCAGGAGCTGGGGCTGTAAAACTTCTCTGACTTCCCTCTGGCCTAGTCACAGCTGCATATTGGGATGGAGAGGAAGAGAGGTGAGGTTGGAGTGCTGGGGACATGCTGGCAGGAGCACTGCATTGGCTCTCTGGTGCATTTGCAATGTGTCTCCTCTCCCCTTATCAATTCCAGGATGCAGCATTGACTTGGCAGGGGTGTGTGTGTGTCAGGTAAGTAGCACAGCCCCACTATGCCACCCCCTGCCACAGGTTTGCAAACTGCTCTTGATTCAGTGATCCTGATATTGGGTGTTTTCACTACTTTTGTTCCCAAATAAAACTTACTGAAAAGCAGGGTGGGGGAATCACAGCCCACAATCAATATTGCCTCCATCTCAAAGACACCAAATTGCACATAAATAGTTTGTTTGTAGCTTGAACTGAGCTGAGCTGAAGCATCGGCCTCCAATTTCCATTTAGTAGCCTCAGCCAGCTTTTTGCCATGACCTGAGTGTTATTTAAACACTGTTGTTCTGTTTCATGTATTATTATTTCTTCTAGCCGTGTTTTGGTCTGTGTTGGCTGTTTCTTTCCTGACCTCATTTGCTCTCTTGGCTGCCTACATTGTCGACTGCTGTGCTTGCTGGTTGGAAAGTCTGTTGTTGCAGTGACAGATTTCCCAAACAGATTTCTGACTGACTACTTTGCCCTCCTGGATGCCTTTCTACGATGCTCTCTCTGGATTCAGAATCTTCAGTACTGAACCGATGTAATCATTGCTGTACTTAATTCCCCCAGCATCCTTCACTGCAGTGTATCTCGCTCATGGAATGAGAACATATAGCACATTTATTGCTTTTCACTAAATATATCACACACAATTATTCCACAACAGCACTTACTTGATTGTATCCAATGTTGCAGCCCCACCATATGTGTTTTTTATTTATTGTTTGTGTTCATGATGGTTTGGAGGTGGTTATACTGCATTCAGGACAGCTTTCATTTGCAAAAGTTTCAGGCTGAGAATACTGCTCCATTTCCAGTCAATGCATGTCCTGTAACTTTCTGTTGATATCCTGTAACTTTTTATACCACAAATGGAAAGTGTTCGGAAATTCAATTTCCCCTGGAAGAAGAGAGGGCTTTAGATGTGGATGTGGGACAACAACAATGTAACATGTTTGCTCCACAGCAAAAACACAAACAGAGAAGATGCTCACCACGGCTGGTTGGTCAGGTGGTCTAGTCACATGGTTCACAGGAAACGACGATAGTTTCATGGAGAGTAAGCATTTACCTACAAAGTGACTACATTTGCAGTCCATGCAGTTTCACAGCAAATAACAAGCCTTCAAATATGAGGGTTAATTCTGCACATGTGGCTTCTACAGATTTACTATCCTCGAGTACCTGGTCTACTTAGTGCTCATGTGCAGAATGTCTTTTAGCATTCTGAGCCACCGACGAGCTACATGGAAAGAATGTTGCTCTAATTATCATACAATCAAGCTCTGTAAGATGGACTAATTCATATACTGACTGCAATGTGAGTATTGCGCCATCCCAATCTCCAAGCAGTACGAGATTCCAGGGGTTCCATGTGCTTACCCAGGATTTTGTTTCCTTTTAGATATGAGACACAGTGGTGACTGTGAATATACAGCTTATATATATATAAACTGAGTCTATGAGGGAGGGGTTCACAGCATTAACATTCCAAAAAGGGTCTTGTTCCTCCCAGCCTTGGATTCAAACAGAAATCAGACATTGCTCTCAAATGTTGCTCTGACTCTCTGTCCAGCTTGTCACATCACTGCAACCCAACTCTAAACTCTGCTCTGTCCTTCTAACTAACCGCAAGCTGCCCCACTCATTTGCCATCTCACACAGAGCCTGTTTCCTTTGTTTCCCTTAATGGCCCATTGCCCAGGCTATCACTTCAACATACAGTAGGAAGCTAGCCTGGCTTATATTTTAACACTTGTCGGATCCAGGGGTTAGAAGGATAGAGCCTACTTCTCTCTGCCCCCACAAACTCATAACAGTATAAAGTTCAGCAACCTTACCAACCATGGCTGCTTTTTTCAGGCTTTTATGGGAAGAGGAAAGTCCTAAGACATGGGCCCATTCAGGGTTAAAACACAAAAGAGGTGTTCTTTAAGAATGCTATGGCTTGATTCCTGATGCAGATAATGTCACGTTATCATAAATCAATGAAATGCAGTGAACTGTGTAGAATCCTAAAGGCTGCAGTTCTATACTCACTTGTCTGGGAGTTACCCAACAGAGCTGACTTTTTAGGAAACATGCATAGTATGCATAGAATAGCAAAGTTCACAGGTAGGAGAAAAATGGCTTTCATGGTGTGTGTGTTTATAAAGAAGGTCACTATTATCCATGCCAATAAGTAAATAAAATACTCATGTTCTTTGCTATAAGAAGAAGGAAGCTGAATGAGGGTAGTGTTGTAGAAGGACACAGGGAGATTTATATTCCAAGTTGTTTTGAGAAAATCCTAAAATAGGTTTGTGGCCAGCAAAAAGTCTCAGTTTATAGATTTGAGCAAAACCACCATACGATTTTGCCATGAGATGGCAGTATTATGTTGTTGCTTCCTTAATTATGCACCTTATGGCTTGATTGCTCCATGTGTAATTTAGCTTGTAAACATCTGGTTTTGCCGTTATTGTTAGACCTTGTAGTTACTGACCAATCCATCCCCATACAGAAGCTGTCCAAGTCCCCTATAAAGAGTAATGCTGCATGCACCAGGATTCACCCTCACACGCAGGAAACATTCTTCAGTTGCTCAGAGCGCAGAATGGGGAAAAACAACCCCTCTGCATGCAGATCAGGCCAGGAGCATTTTGGTCTATGAAACTGTTGACACACACTCCAGCTTTTATAGGGGTTGACTATGTTGGTAGAGACATGCAAGCTTTCCAGTCTAAAGAAAAACCCCTAACACTCTCCCAATAGTGCTGTTACTTTTTGAATCTGATCACACAAGCACAAATTATGTGTTGCATGCAAAATATAATTTAAAAGCTGAGCTCTGCTTTAGTTTTCATATTCAGTGGACGATAGTGCTTGCTTCTTAAATGTTCCAAAGTTTATGAATCTGTAGCAGTTATTAGATTATTAACTTTTAATGATTGCATTTTCTTAACCCCCCCTATATTTAGGGAAATATCCAGGAAAATAAAAGCTAGCAAAAATAAAAATAAAAATCTGAGTCAAGTGTAGGTGAAGACCCAAGTTACATAGTAGTATCCCCCCCTTTTTTTAAAAAGCAGGCACGTAGATGAGACAATTCATTGTTCTCACAGCACAGGAAGAGGTGATAAAATCATCACACTGATTCTCCAGTGAAAATTCCTCCCCCATAGCTGCTGATACAGCAGAGATAGTCCTTTGGCCCAGCTGGCTGGGCTTGACTGGAGCTTGACTCCAACAACAATTGGAGGGCCTTTATCCCTGAGGTGGAGACACAATGAGTGACCCCCTCCTTCTGCAGTTGCCGTCAATTCCCCCACTTCAGCTTTTACGGAAAAAAACACACACTGGGAGGCCCAGTGGATTCCCCATGTAATAGGAAATTTGGTCCCCACTCTGTGTCATTAAAAGAAGAAGAGTGATTCTGGTGACTTTAAACAACAACGTAAGAGTTTCTAGGCTGTAAGCTACCCTCAGGACATGAAATTAGAACTAATAACAGACTAGTATTTGAAAGCAGTTGGCAGAATGTTTTCTATATAGGAACATAAGAATAGCCCTGCAGGAGAAGGCCAGTGGCCCATCTAGTCCAGCAGTGACCAACCAAATGCCCATGGCCAGCCTACAAGCAGGACCTGAGCACAACAGCATCCTCACCTTCTGAGGTCCAGTAGCTGTTATTCAGAAGCATACTGTCTCCACAGTCCATGAAGGCAGAGCATAGCCACTGATAGACTTGTCCTCCATGAATTTGTCTGAACCTCCTCTAAAAGCATCCAGATTGGAGGCCAACATGGCCTCTTGTGGGAGCAAAACTCATAGTTTAACTATGTGCTGTGTGAAGAAGTACTTTCTTTTATCTGTCCTGAATGTTCCAAGATTCATCTTCATTCAGTGTCTCCAAGTTCTGCTGTTGTGAGAACGGTGGGATGTCTGTTTCTACAGCCTATATATTTTGAGCCCAAATTATTCTTTTTTTAAAATTATTTTTTTATTCAATTTCCAATATAAAATTTAAACATACATTTTCAATATTATCACAAATACAAATTTTGACTTCCTTCGACTCATCCGCAAATCTTCCGTTATCAAATCTTCTATCCGCAATTCTAAATTTAACATTGCCTTTTGTTTTAAATAAACTTACTCCCTTGTTCCCTTTTTTACAGTGTTTCTAATATTATTTCTTCACAAAGCTTCCTGTAAACCCACAAACGTTGTTTGCTCATCACATATGCTTTTCATATAATCCACAAATTTACTCCAGTTGAGCCCAAATTATTCATTGCACATCAAGACTGGAATGTTAGGCAGGCTCTGGCCCTTCACCGGAAACCATCAGTTCCTTATTGCCATAAGCAAGAAGCAGGCAAATCTATGTGTAACCCTTGCCTTAGACTGTCATTGAACTTGACAGCAATCATAGAATCATATGGGTAGAGGTATTCATTTGGCTTTAACAGCCAACTCTCATTAAGCAACAGATCTGAGGTGAAATTCTTCCAGAGAAGAATTTTCTGTCAAACATTTTGAATATTTTCTCTTTTTTAATTCTTCCTGAATTAGTGGAAGAGATTTGGCAAGATGGCCTCCCCAATTTCACCACCCATGAAATGGGGGCCCAACAGTCAATCCTGCCTTAACATTGCTTAATATAGGGTTGTCATACGTCCGGAATTTCCCAGATATTGCTGGGATTTGCCCGTCGGAAGCAGTGTCTGGGCAAAAATCACTTACCGTAAATGTCCAGGAAAAAAATCCGGATGTATGGCAACCCATGTCGGAAGTGTAGATTTTGGCAAATTTCCTTAAAAATAGCTCAAAAATAGCTCTCCTCCTCCTCCTCCTCTTTTTCTTCTTGCAAATCTCAACAACTTTCGTGGTCGGATTTTCACTTTTTGAAATATGGCAACCCTACCTAATCATATTTTTCAAATTGTTGAAGAAAGCAAAAGGCTTGGTTCCTGCTCCTTCCACTCTTCCTCTCTTAACCCATCATTTCACTCACCCACCTATATGAGTGACTCAAAATTTCTCAGGGGAGAAATTGGCAAAATGACAAATAGCATGGAGAAATCTGAGAAGCCATTTTTGTTTGGTCCTATTTAGCAATAATTCGATGCCAACTTTATAACTGAAAGTCAATGCTGTTCTCAACTGTTTAACACAGAAGTGGTTTTCTTTGTGTAACTGTGACTAATTTGCCCTTTTCTCTGTATGACTAGAAAGGAAGATAACACATTTTATACAACTCAGTTTTTAATTAGTCTGTTTTGGTATACTGAGGATTCTGTTTTCTTCCCTGACTGCTGACTGCATTCGGTTATTCCACAAGGGGTAATTGTATTGCAGCATCTCCTGTCCTGTCCCCAATTTATTATGTATATTCAATGAATGTCTAGATATCTGATGGGGAAAGGTACTCATCTGATGAGTCAATGGTACTGTGGCAGGTGGGCTAACTTTCCCCCTTCCTCATGCCATTTTCGTGGTCTAAATCCCGCCCCCCATCATAAAATGTTGTTTTTCCCACAAAGAAAGACATGCAGGTGCCTATAGAAGCTAGGAGTAGGAATTTAGATAGGAAAAATAATATGGGGGACTTTTTTGCAGCAGAGTTATATGAATGTTTTCCCAGAAGTAAGTACCTCTGTGTACCTTTCCTGGAACTTACTCCCAGGAAAGTGTGCATATGATTAAACCCTTAAACTCTATTCCCTTCTGTACTGTAGCCCTGATCCAATTCAGGATTCCCTGCCCACCAACCCTCAAGAACTTGTACACAACTTTAATGACTTTATGCTATGAAGTGGTCAATAAATTAAATATTAAATTAAATTAAATTAAATTAAATTAATAATTGCATCAACTTTTAACATGGATCCCCTGACATCCTGTCTAGTTTGGTGCTTAGGTTATTTTAGAAGTGGTGGAAATGTATGCTTGGGTTAGTTCTTGCAGTACATTGAAGCTGGCTCTGCAATGGACAGAAAAGTGTAGGACTGAGTCGCTCACCTCAGACGGTAGCGTAGGCTGAGCAACACCAATTTACTGAAACCTGTCTGGTGACCCATAGTGTCCTGCAGTGCACACAAAACTAAGCATGCGTTCAATAAGTTGTTCTCGCCATGTGATAATTGATTATGTAAGCAAGTGATTGAGTCATAACTATTAAAACACTCCCCCTATTTAAAAAGAAGCAATTAGTGTAAATTAATATTCATGTTGTTCCTTAAAAAGGAAGCAATGCAGCATAGAACGTTATAGGTGTGCTGGAGTATATGTGATTTGTCATTCATTAACACTCATTTTCCACCTATTTCATTGCTTTTAAGAGGACTCAAATGTCTATTGAAGTTATTCTGTCCCCCCCTTTTCTGCAATATTGTAGAGTTTCACGCACATGTTTCTGCCTTGCTGTTTGCTGTGTTCATAGTGCAGATTATGAAGCCCACGTTCTCAAGCCCTAGCATCTGTGTATAATAATAACTTTCTCAGTAGACAGGGGTGGGTGGGGGTGGAATCTATATTTCCTCTCTACTAAAGCTTTATTCAAAGGTAAACACTAAACAGTATGGCCATAACAGTGAAGTGCTGTTGAAATCTCCTTTTGAAGGCTACAGAAGGGGGGGGGGGGATCCTTATTAAAATCTTTGCGTGCCTGCTGGCTATTGATTTTTATAGTTTTTGTATGCACCTTTGGCAATTTCTTTTGCATTTGATTAAAAATGATAGTCTTCCATCAGGCAGTTTTATTGCTTTTCATTAAGTTTCTTTAATAAAATGTGAGATGCTCAAAACCAGGGCAAAGCATCTAGGCTTGCATGCAAAATTTGGAACTGAAGATAAGAAGCTGGGTTGAGTGGGGTGGAATTTGAAGAATGGCAGGGTTCAGTCCAGTGCTCAGGGGTGCCATCTCCTAGGGGCTGAGACCTTTTGGGGCCCCCAATATTTTTGGGAGGGGGAAAAGCCCTACCCAATGTTCAAAGGGGTGGACAAGGCCAAGGGTGGAGTTGAGCGTGGCATTGCTTCAGTGGCTGTCTCCATCTCCTCCTCCTCCTGCTGCTGCAGAGGGGAAGGAGTAGGAAAGCAGCCCCTGACTGCTGCTGGCCATGGCAGCAGCAGGAAGCCCCATGGCCATTGCAGCCATCCTGCCGCCATATTGCTGCTGCGTTAGGCCCTGTCCAGCTCCTTCCAATGTCCTGACATCACTTATTTTTCATAATAAGTGGCAGGGTGCTTCGTATGAAAAACAGTGATGCAGGAAGCTGATGCTCAATGCTGATAACAATTTTGCACAAGCCTACCTACCATCCTGGCGTGACTTAAATATTTGTTCTTGTAGGCCATGAGTGAGGAACCTGTGCTCCTCCATTTGTTGAGCTACAACTCCCACCGGCCCCTGCCAGCATGGCCAACGGCTAGGAATGATGGGAGTTGTAGTCTAGAAACATCTGGAAGGCTACACACTCCCCATCCCCATTGTAGGCTTTCAAGAAAATTGATCTGATACCTCTAAAAAGCATCCATGCTTCAATATGGTGTTAATAAGAAATTAAATTAAGTTTGTGGCATCAAGAGGATAAATAACCTTAAAGAAATGACACCAAATAGACTCCTTATTCCATGATATCTAATCCACTGTTTTCAATGTCTAGACCTGATTATTGCTCATAATTAAGTTCATTAGTACCTCAGAGCCCTATAAGACATTTGAATCATACTTGTTCTAATTAATATTTCTTCTTGAAAGCTGTTTAGAGTCCCCCAAACTTTCTGAAATGGACTGGTAATTGCTGCTTTAAATTTGCCAGCTGTGCAAACACATAGCTACGAGGACACATGAGGGCTTTCGCAGACGCAGTGCCACATTGGATCGGTTAATTAACTATTTGCATGCTGCTGAGACATTTAACTTACAGGTGCTCTCAAACAATCATCCCCTTTCATTTTATATTTACTCCATGAGGGATATCATTTGAGGTTTTGGCAGGAGAGTTGGGACTACAGAGAAGCTGCTGTCAAATGACAAGATATTTTAAACGAACATGTTATAGAAGATTTCATTTTTTAATCATACATACCACACCCTTTTCCACCTCCTCTTTCATTTACTCATTGCTATAACATATAAGGAACTCATCTTTTAACAATCATTCTGATTTTTGGAGGGTGGGGTGGGGTGGGGAATGGCACCCAGCACAAAAAAGCCCAGCCACCATCGGGGTCTGCAATTATAGAATTCTCTGGAATGAAGCAAAGTTTGGAGCATTGGAGGGGGTTGGGTTGTGGCCCTCAGGAGCAGCCGCAGAAATCAGCTGTGCTGCTGTTAGCAAAAGTACCCGCAGAATCAATAAAAAGCCCAGGAAAAACGAATGTAACACAACCAATGCCTAAAAAGTGAAGAACAAAACGAAAGACGACCTTTATAAGAAAAACTAATGGAATAGCAAACTGAAACAATGTTCCTTGCATGCCACTAATATATGTATCTGTGAAATCGTTTTTAATTTTGCAGCATCTGGACCGTACATAGGAAATATATCGTACTTGCTATCCTGCTGGATTCAGAGCTCCCATTATACTTGCTGTTTCCTACTCCCAGCCATCTCCTTGGTCACTCTTTCAGTAGACTTAGTTTAGTATTAATCAGCGTGGAGTTTTGCATGTTTACTTCAGTCTGCATGTTGTTTTTAAGTGGCTATGTGTTTCCTCCCTCTAGCTTTCCAAGATATCTAGCTGCAAATTGTTGCCTTGCATTTGGCTTGGCAGCTGACTTCACAATACTGTGTGCAGCTCCTCCCCGCCCCCCCGCAAAAAAAGAATGTTCCTTGAGCCTCCCAAGTCATCTCCTTCCTCCATATTATTTTTCAGGTCAAGGCGGGTTATAGTTTCATGTTATAGTAGGAAAGTACATCTTGAGATTTCCACATGTTCTATCTTGAAAGCTGCACTTCCTTGGCATAGACCTAATCTGTACAGTCAGCTGGAGTTTCCCCCCTAGAGTTTAAGCACACCCACCCAGTATCCACCACATCACTGTATATGAAATTAACTCTCTCTCTCTCTCTCTCTCTCACACACCCACACACCCACACACCCACACCCTACAACAGTTGAATGGTAGGGTAGTTTGCTGTTTAGTGATATGACACCACATCCACGAGAGGCAGGGTATTAGCTGCTAAATAAGGACAACACATTTCTCTTCCCCATGCTATCCATTATTAATCTGTGGTGGTTGTCACCTG